TTTTTTTTTTTTTTTTTTTTTTTTTTTATTTTTTTTTTTTTTATTATTTTTTTTTTTTTTATATATTTTTTTATTTTATTTTTTTTTTTTTTTTTTATTTTTTTTTTTTTTTGTTTTTATTTTTTGTTTTTTTTTTTTTTTTTTTTTTTTTTTTTTTTTTTTTTTTCTTTTTTTTTTATTTTTTTTTATTTTCTTTTTTTTTTTTTTTTTGTATTTTTTTTTTTTTTTTTTTTTTTTTTTTTTTTTTTTTTTTTTTTCTTATTTTTGTTTTTTTTTTTTTTTATTTTTTTTTTTTTTTTAAAAACAGCATTTAAGGTAGCTGTTTTACTCTTTATTGTATGGTTTTAGTATCCCCAGTGTGTTCTCTGGAGGAGCCCTCTGCACTGGGAGCGGCGGTCTGCTGTGGCTGCGGGGGTCCGGCTTTTGGATCTAGTAGGGGCCTGGGGCCTCCTCTCTCCTCCGGGTCCTATGGGGGCCAGGTGGGAGGTCTGGGGCCTCCTCTCTCCTCTGGGTCCTGTGTCGTCCCCTGTGGCTGCAAGCGGCTCTCTGCTCCTGGTGCAGATGGCTCCCTGGATGGCGCTTCTTCAGCTGGATACATCCGCACCCAGTTCTATATCTTTTCATAGTTTTACCTATTTTACCTGTCTGTTGTGATTTTATATGTCTTATGTGTGTGTGCGTGTGTGTGTGTGTGCGTGTGTACGGGTACATGCATCTCGATGTATATATAATAATTAGGGTGGTTTATGGGTGGGTCTTTGGGGTTTATTGGGTATGTTGTATTGATTGTGACTCAGCTGTAAAGCACTTTGTGTTGCATTTTATTGTATGAAAAGGGCTTTATAAATAAAGTTTGATTGATTGATTGGTGAGTGCACTCACAACATTCTTCCTAAGAATTGGGACACCCCTGGATCTAGGGGATAATATGCAAATAACGCAGCAAGTTCCACGTCACACACATTATCAATGTGTCTGATTCCACCACAGATAAGATCTGACACAGATAAGACTTCATGAAACACAGTATTCATTAAAATGAGACGTTTTTAATTCTATTTTATTTGAAGATTTGCTATAATTAGGTACAGAACTGCTGCTCATCACACACTCAGAGACAGACGCACACACACGCATACAGACAAACATGTACACACATGGAGGCAGACACACACGCACACAGACAGACGCATGTACATACGCGCACAGAGACGTACCACACAGAGACAGACGGGTACAGCCGCGGTTCCGCAGATCACAAAGCAAACTGTGTCAAAGCGATGCTCTGAACTACAGAATGGATCTATAATAATAACATGGATCCACGTCTCTGAAGCCTCAGTGAACACCACACGCTTCGGTAGCGAAAATCACCACACACGGCACCAACACACGCTTTAAAAACTCTTGCACACGCTTCGGAGCTTCCTCCCGTTCCGCATAAAACTTGCGTGTGAGTGTTTCATGTTGTTTTCTTTCATTGTGGCGTGGCTTTGCCCGACAGCTGCTTTACCAGCAGCTATCGTAATGCATCATGGGATCACAATCGCTCGCAAGTGAGCTCCGGACCTCACTTGCGCTCAAGGGTGGTTTTTAGGGTTGTGAAGGCCATCGCCTCTTCTCCCTAAGTATTGGGACATCCTACAACCCCCACGGGCACGCGCAAAATCTAGGGCAAGTGTGCTTTTTAAGGTCAAGGTGGAGGATTGGGACGGGGCCTTAGCGTGACGCCAGCTGTCCTCCAATCACGGAACGAGGCTGCGTTGGTAAACAAGCGCAGAATGGAGGCAAAAAGTGCCTATATACCTGCTCTGGCTGTAACTGCATACAGCAAAACATCCCGAACGATGCAACAGTGAGAAAGAGAAGAGGGAACTAAAGCGAAAAAATTATCAAAGAAGAAATCAAGCCCAGGTGAACATAGCTAGCTTACATCATATCCTACATAGCTACTAAATACTTGTATATATTGTGTGTGTGCTACCTGTGTGCTCTTACTACTGTCCTATATGTACGCTGCAACATCGAAATTTCCGCACTGTGGGACAAATAAAGGAATTCTTATCTTATCCTCTGGAGAGACTTACAGTCTATGGGAGAGACCTGCGGGACCGCCTCGGACTACGTTTGGACGCGAAACTAGTGCGGATCTTTCAGTTATATATTTTCATAGCAGTGCGTTGCTTTTATACCATTTCATCAGTGATTGTTGTACAGCTTAAGTTGCACTCATGCTAATGTTTGCATACTGTACATATCAGATCGCAAATAAAACTAGAGTGCTCCGTGGCAGGAGAGCGTAGGGGAAATGAGAGACCTGTGAGCGAGTTGAGGGGCGATGCTAAATATTCAACCTTTTCAGAAACGAGTGTAGCTCCTTTAACTAAATAATTAGGGTCAGATTCTGGAGGGGATCTGGGCTTTGTGTGACGGATTGTCATTGTTGGAAAAGTTTATTCTCAGGTCTGAAATGATTATGTACCAGCGAAAGCTATATAGTTCTGTGTTTACAAAGACAGCTTGAGGCTACGCCACAGCGCGGGTGGAGGGAGGCCAGCCATAGGCAAAGAAGCATAGAACCAGCCATTTCAATGGAGGTGAAATCTCTGCATGAAATGCACTCAAAGTTGTTGTTTGGGTGTCACCCAAATTATTATCATAAATATGTATGGACTTTGAAAAATTAAAAAAGGGGAAATATAGGACCTGTTCTGTTAATCATCATCACAACTGACTGGAATTATGTGACGTTATGACATTAGCTTCAGATATAACTGTTTGAATAAAGTTTTTCCCTTTACATGTTAACTTGCTCAATTGGCTAAATCCATTGTACAATTCATGTACAATAATTGGCTTTATTAGTTTTATCTTGAAAGAATCTTCCAGTTTGTCCACCTGGTAGGTCAAATAGCTATCTAATCCTCATAATGGGACACCTTTGGGAACACCAGGTGCCAGAGTGGAGGGGCTGCAGCTGTAAAGTGCCAAACTACTGTGTCCTTGAGCAAGACACAGTGTTTTCTAATACGTTTAAGACACTATGCTGTGGTCTGATTTGTTTAAAAATTCTCTTCTACTAATACTACAACTACTACTACAACTAATACATTAGCTGACAGTCTTGTTTGCGTGGGTCCCTGAGCACACGTCTCACTCCTGTCAGTCCTTTGTGTCCAGGCCCAATGCTGTCAGAGCTCCCATGAGCCTTTGCAGTGAAGTCTCATTAGTGAATGGAGCCGTGTGTAAATAAAAGCTGTGACAGCTGCAGCCGCTGCCCCCCTGGAACAGACCAAACCAGGACCTGGACTGGTCTCAGCTTCAGTCCAGGTTAGAATTGTTTTCCCCACCATTAGTCAAGGATTCTGTTAAATTTATTTGTGTGTAGTGTCCTAAATCACAACAGCGGTAATCTCAGAGGAGTTTACAAAATGATCAATTCCTCAGCAACAGATCAGAGAATCGAACAGTTCAAACACAATCAGGACCATCTTACGTTGAACTAAAGGGAAACTAGTACTTTCTTCTGTGCAGGAAGAAAGTACTTTAAATTAGACAAAAAATGTATTATCGCAGAGCAGGATGGAGCGCGAATCTGCAAGCTTTGCACATCTGCAAACGGAAAGTTTTGCCCATTCATTTTTACAGAACAACTGGTGCTCTGTCAGATCAGATGATTTGTGAACATTTGGGTCTCCTTCCAGGCCCCCTCCCCCTCAGTGACCTCAGCTGTCGCTGTTCAAATGTCCATCCTTCATCACTGTTGTGTGTGTGTGTCTATGAGTGCATGTGTGTGAGAGTGAGTGTGTGAACATGTGTGTTTATACCTTCAGGGGTACGAAGTTAATATAAAGCAGTATTTATTATACTTTTTATTAATTTGCAAATTAGGCGAGGACTTTAGGCGGAAGAGTGTATTAGATATATTGCATTTCTTATGTTTTACTGGATCCAATACAATACAATTTATTCTTGTATAGCCCTATATCACAACAGAAGTCATCTCAGAGGACTAAACAAAACAATTGAAATCACCAACACAGATCAGAGAATCAACAGTTAAAACACAAAAAGAATATCGAACACATGTTAAAAAAAATGTACATACATGTTGTAGAATGTTTAAGTGTCCTGGATCATCACCACATCCTTTTTGTTGGACACTAACTGTCCAACAAGACCCTCCTGCATCGGCAAGGAAAAACTCACAAAAACCCAGTGGGAAAAAAGTGATAAACCTCGGGGAGACCCATATTGAGAAAGGGATCCGCTCCACACGGACGGACGGGCTATAGATCCAGGACCTAAGCTACAGAACGTGGACCAGCGGCCACTGAACGTGGACAGGTCCGGTGCAGGACTGAAGCACTCCCAGGCGGGTCGGGCGGGGCAGTCCGCAGGTGTAGATGGAGGAGGCCAGGCTCAGAGGTCCCGTCGTTGAAACATGAAACAGACAATGGGACAACGGGTGAATAGCAATGAACAAACTACAGTCAAAATCCTAATAATGCAAAACAGATAAAGTAGGAAGGAGGAGAGGATAGTGCTCAGTACTGGAGCCACAGCTGTCCCAAGTCGACTATAATATTTACATGACAAGGTTGTGGGAATAACTAGCCTGGCCTTAGCCATCCGAAAATGATTATTGACCGGAGTGGTCAATAACCATTTCCCTGCATGTAACGTCTGGGTGGTACCTGTGTTTGCGATTACAATCGGTTGAATTCCATCCGACCAATCAGCGAGTGCGGGAGGTGGGTGTTGTAGTTTGCTGTGGGTGACGTCCACAGCTAACTAGTTAGTATTAGTTTTCTGTTTGTTTAAGTTTAGAGTTTTAAGCTTGTAGTTTCATCATAACAGACGCTATAGTCGATCATGATATGTTGGTCGATCCCAAAAGACACTCCTCTCTTCTGTCTTTCCTCTAGAGCAGGGGTCCCCAATGAAATTGGCTCGAGGTCCACTTACTTGATCAGTTCAACAGATTCTAGAGACTATACTCATCTTTCCTCCCTCTTTTCTCGCTCATCTTTTCCGCTCCTGCTCTCGCCCCTGTCATCTCTCCACGCTCCTCTCGTCTCCCCCTGTCTGTCGCCCCAGTCATCGCTCCTCTTTCTCCTTTCTCTCCCATCTCCTCTCCCCCCTCTCCCCTCTCTCTCCTTCCATCTCTCCCCTTTCCTCTCTCTCCTCTTTCGCAGTGACCGCACCACACCGTGCCGCGTTGGTATTCCACACGTGCGCTCTGACCGCGCGATCCGAGCAGAGAACGACCACGGGAGGGAAACCAAACTGTCTGCGTCCACATCCACATCCAGGTCCAGGTCCACATCCAGTCTGTGTCTGCTACATACACTGCGACACCGCGTGAGGACCGGGGACCGTGGAGCTGGCCGTCTCCTCCTCTTTGCTGCTGGGACATGGAAAAGGTGAGTGAAAAAGGCGAAGTGGGAATCTCATTGACATTCTGCCACAGCGTCGCCCCTAACCGTCAAATACACGCGCAATTGGATTCCAAGGGGATTTTAGCAGTCGCATTTGGGTTTGGTTCTTGTTGGGCCAGATCGTGCGCGCGTGACGGTCTACGTGTCCGCGTCTGGAGAAGTGAGTGTCCACTAAACCGCAGCCTTCCACCTCTGGCCGCATCAGTCACACGGAGCCGCGCCGATTCACCGGAGCAGAGACTTTCATTATTACATTTTGGAATCTGAGGATGAAAACAGCGCGGATCAACAATTGCCCAAAGCCCAGTGGACGCGGTGCAGGCTGGGAGCTTCCATCTGCATTCTACCACACAGACATCAGTTTATGTTTACGGTACTAATTATCAATCAGAAATGCACGGCAATTGTTGAATCGTGCTGTTTGCATCTGTCATTGAGTCTAAAGTGCATCTGCGGAATATGTGTTTGTGTTGGATCAACGGGTGATTTTATATATATGTATATATATATATGTATGTATCTATCTATCTATCTATTTATCTATTTATTTATAGATAGATAAATAAATAGATAGATATCTATCTATATATACTGTATATATTAAAAGGTGTGTCCGATTGATGGCCTCATCACTTCATCTGTTCATCTTTGAAACACATTTTTAAACCAAATCTGAACAAGCACATGCCCTAACTAACAGTGATTGGCCAGGATGCTGCTTACCAAGGAATATCCACAGTGTCTGTTTGTTATTTCTTGGTTGCAAGGATATGGAACCAGATAATAAAGCAAAATGGAAACGCCAGCAGGTAGAGTAGAGTAGAGTAGAGTAGAGTAGAGTAGAGCTGGTGCAAATGTGCCTATAAATACATCACAACCCTAAGTTTTTAATTCAACATTTTTCAGTCTTGAAACTTAAGTAAGTTCTTAAATAAGTACCTAATTTTGACACTAGTTTTATGACAGAATGGAAGCACCTCACTGTGTGTTTGCATCTGTCTGTGAGTCAATGAAGTATTTATGAAAATCTCTGCTCACCTGAATACACAGCAGTGGTTAGAGCTTGTACTTCACAGAAGAAGGTTCTGGGTTTGGTTCCACCTCCAGGCCTTTCTGTGTGGAGTTTGCATGTTCTTCCCGTGTTTGTGTAGGTCTCCTCCAGGTACTCTGGTTCCCCCTACCACTAAAAACATGTACAATAGTCAGGGTGGATAAGTGTGACAGGTGCAAATTAGTCCAAGGCAACAATCTGGAGAAGTGTGTTCATTGACATGCACTGTCCCAACCAAATAAACAATAAATACAAAAATTAATCAGTGAAGAAAGCTCCAGTTTCAGAGATCCTTCATTCGTCCCACAGTGGGGAAATGTCAGTGTTGCATCACCAGTTACAGAACAGTTGGAATGAGGAGCACACAGCACAAGATAAGTGAACAATAACTTATACTAAAATAAAATATCAAAGAAGCGAGTATAAAATCTCTAACTTTAGCCTAATCAAGAAGCTAGCTACTGTCAGACTGTACAACAAACAATGAGGAGTAACAAACACTGCCGACCTGACCTCACATGTCATGCATCGATGCAATATCTTGAACTAATGTCAGAATGTGCAATATAGAACCACATGTGTCCACTGTTGCTCTATTAGTCACTTAGTTCCATAACCTCATGCTGCTAAAATGTACAGATGAATACATACGATAAGATAAGATATGCTTTATTTATCTCACAAAGGAGAAATGTACATTTTTTTATACATCTATATATATTACTTGCACTAGAATACACAGTACTTTATACTTCCTTCTTATTATGCCAAGGTTGAGATTTTATTCTTCTTTAATTTGCTAAAGAATCTTTTTACTCATTATGCTAAAGATAGAGATTTTTTACTTGTTTCCTCTTCATGCTAGCCTGGTCATACCACGCCATAGTACAAATTACATTTCGTACTAAGGTCTGGAGGCGCTCCATTGAGCTCCGTTTACAGGTGGGAGGGGTTAACTCCTTTTGCAGATTGAAACGATTGGATCTGAGTTTACCGTGACGTATGTAGTGCGTCCGAGTCTGTCGTTAGCATTTAGCAGTTAGCCTAGCCATCTCCTTTGCTGCTAATGAAGCCCGTGGGGAGTAGCGCCACAATCTTTTCCAACAATTACATTTGCCAAACATTACTCTTGCTCTGGCTTCAATTTCTTGATAGAACCAGACCGGATTACTTTACTATCGCATTTTTCGCCATTGCCAAACCGCAACCTTCCCGTTCAACGCAAACTCTTGACATCACCCACCACTCACTCCAACACCTGACTCCTGCGCTCGCTGATTTGTCGGTCGAAAGTCAACCGATTGTATTCGCATGTAACGTCTGGGTCTGGTCCCTGACACAGGGACTGAAACTATTAGTTTGAATGGAGAGAGAAGGTGGGCCTGATGCCTCAGTCGTTTTCATTTCACTTTATGGAAGCCGTTTGAAATTGAAAAGTTATGATTGGTTCGCTGCACAGTGGACAGGTATCTTTTCAGCTTGAACCAATCGCAGAAGTTTGCTTGTGGCGAATGTATTTACCCCAGAAATAACTTCCTCATTGTTCTGGCTTTAAATCCTCTGATTCTGGGATCTTTTCAAACACAGATTGTATGGCTTGGTCTACATCCATCTCGACTCCTTTGTTTACTGCTTTGTTGAACTTCACACAGGCGCTGATTGGCGGATTGTATTATGGCTAAGAATAGGCTACAAGAACTACAGTCTATGGTGGTCTCTATTGCTCTCTCTCTCTGGTCTCTATATAATCTCACTCTGCTCTCTCTTTGGTCTCTCCCTGGTCTCCTCTGGTGTCTCTCTCTGGACTCTCTCTGGTCTCCCCTTGATATCTTTTTGGTCTGTCTGACACCAGATAGATCTGCGGTTGCTCTCTGATCTCTCTCACTGTTCTCTCTCTGTCTCTCTGTGATCTCACTCTGGTCTCTCTTTGGTCTCTCACTGGATTCTCTCTGGTCTCTTTCTGGCCTCTCTCTCTGATCTCTTTGTGGTCTCTCTCTGGTCTCTCCCCACTCTGGTCTCTCCCAAATGAAGAGGGCAAAAGTCATCCCAATATTCAAAACAGAAAATAAACATTGCTTCAATAATTATCGGCCTATCTCCCTTCTGTCACAGTTTTCCAAAATACTGGAAAAATTGTTTGACATAAGACTACGTGGTATCATTCATAAGTGCAATTTACTGTCTGATGCTCAATATGGATTCAGGAAAAAACTATCAACATAACTTGCTCTCATAGACCTCATTGAGGACATTACAAACAGCATTGAAAAGAATAATTTTGTACTTGGAATATTCATTGATCTTCAAAAGCTTTTGACACAATCGACCATCACATTCTAATAAATAAAATGGAGGCTCATGGCATAAGGGGGCCGGCCCTAAACTGGTTGGTGAGTAACCTGAATGGTAGGAAGCAACTTGTACAGTTTGAACAACACAGGTCTGGTTTCAGTGACATCACCTGTGGTGTTCCACAAGGGTCCATTCTGGGACCCACACTTTTTCTCATGTACATTAATGATTTATGCAAAGTATCAACATTATTGAAATTTATACTTTTTGCCGATGACACCACAATTACATGCTCAGGAAATGACTTGGTGCAACTTTTGTCTCTCCTAACAGTGGAGATGAACAGATTAAAGAGGTGGTTTAATAGTAACAAATTGTCACTCAACTTAAAAAAAGACCAAAATTATGCTTTTCAGTAATCGTAAAAGTAAAATACCAGTCAGAATAATAATTGATAATACACTTATTGAGAGTGTTAAACAAAATGTATTTTTGGGAGTTAAAATATACGACAAAATTACATGGAAACCTCACATTAGTTACTTGCGGACGAAAGTTGCAAAATGTGTGGGAATGATGAAGAGATCAAGTCATTTACTTGCTCTCATGTTATTATATCATTCTTTCATAAATGTCAAATCTGAATTACTGTGTTGAAGTGTGGGGAAACTGTTACAAGTCTCGTTTGCAGCCTCTATTTGTTCTACAAAAAAGGCCATAAGGATTGTGTCTAATGTCCACTACAGACATCCCTCAAATCAATTGTTCATAGAAACCAACTTAACCAACTTAAACTACATGACTTGGTTAGCCTAAGAACTGCTCAGATAATGTTCAGGGCATCTGAAAGCTCTCTGCCAGCCAACTTACGAAACCTTTTTCATTCATTCTTGCCTCTGTTTACATACCGCCATGCGCGGACGCGCGCGAGGCTCAGCGCGCACTCGCAGAGCAAGTACTGTGTATGGAACGTTTATACCCGGACTCTCTGATTATTATCCTGGGGGATTTTAATAAGGGAAACTTGAGCCAGGAACTACCCAAATACAGACAGTTTATCAAATGCCCGACCAGAGAGGAGAACACTCTGGATCACTGTTACACCACCGTGCGCGGAGCTTTTCGCGCTGTTCCCAAGCCAGCCCTCGGCTTCTCAGATCACTCCATGATACATCTGGTTCCTGCTTACAGACAGAGACTAAAGCTCTCGAAACCTGCAATGAGGAGCTCCAAAGTGTGGTCTGATGAAGCTGTGGAAGAGCTGCGCGCATGCATGGAATCTACAGACTGGGACCTTTTCAGAGCTGCCACAGACAGCTTGGATGAATATACGGACACTGTGACGTCATACATTCACTTCTGCTAGGATAGCATCATTCCAACAAGGACCAGGGTCATCTATAACAATGACAAACCCTGGTTCACTGCTAAACTCCGGCAGCTCAGGAAAGCAAAGGAGTCTGCTTTCAGGGAGGGGGACCGCAGCGGCTACAAAGCAGCTAAATATCAGTTCAGGAAAGAACTGAAAGCAGCCAAGTCCCGGCACAGAGAACGACTACAGGAGCAGTTTGGTAACAACGATACTGCTTCTGTCTGGAGGGGCCTACGGGAGATCACCAACTACAAACCCAAAGCCCCCCCCTGTGCTGACGACCACAAGCTAGCTGACGAACTGAACTTATTCTTCAGTCGCTTTGATGCTGCCCCTGACACCTCTCCCTCCCCCACCCCCCACTACTCTAACGACCCACCCATCAGCCCTGCCCCCAGCCTAACAATAGCCGCTAAAGAGATTAAACAACTCTTCCTGAGGCTGCACCCCCGCAAAGCTCCTGGCCCGGACCACGTGTCTCCGATCT